TTTTTTTTTTTTCTCCCCACATTTAGCAGAAGCTTCCTGGTGTAATGGAGGTGGTGGTAGGTCAGGAGCCAGGAAACATGGGACTTATTCCCAGCTCTTCTCTCCTTTTTGTTTTGTCTTTTTGGACTGTTTTGGTCTGTACCACCCCCAGCACCAGCAAGCTCTGATCTTGCTTGAGCTTTCTAGGTGTTCCAGCAATGCAAATAAAAGCCAGTGAGGTGCAGATATCCATCTGTGGGGACAAAGAAGCTGGGCAGGGAATTTCTAGAGAAAGACAGGGCTGCCAGAAGAACTCTGGCCTGTTTTGCAAACCAAAGAAGTTTAGTTCAAGACTTGCAAAGGCTTGTCTGAACCAGGTCTCTGAGAAATTTTGGGTTGACCCATTTCTTGTTTGGGAACCAAGCTGTTGTCTGGGGATCAGTATCCCACAGAAATTTTGGGTCAGAGTCTTTTGGGAAACAAATTGTGTTTGGGTTCTGCTGGTAGAAAGGGAGAAGAACAGGTTGAAAGGGTTGGGGAGACAGAGAAGTTCTGCTTGTCCTTGAGCTTGACCCTGAAATGCTGCATAACTGAGAGCTGAAGGGTCCAGAGAAGCATGGGAAGACCCCAGCTGCAGAGCGCCTTGTTGGCTTTGCTCCTCTCCTGGTGACTGCTCTTACAAATCTGGATCCACTCAGCAGCTTTTTCTACTGATGTTTTGGGTGGAATGGTGGAAAACAGTTTTGCCATAGGGAATCCCGTGGCAGCACACGTCCTCAAAGGGCTCAGGAGATCAGGCTGGAGCTGGGGGTTTTGTGCTAATGTCAGAAGAGTCTGGAGTCCTGCAAGGTCTCAGCTGCAGGACTTTGGCTCTGAAACCCCCTCAGGATGGGGTATCGGGGAGACTTCTAAAATAAATCTGGCAGTCGTCTGTCTTCTCCGCATCTTCTCTCTAGGTAGCGAGTGACTAGATCTTTTATCCGCTTGTCCTAGGAGAATGTGTACCTTCTGAAAAGCTCCTGCAGTCAGAACGAAGTTGGTCTCTCACTGCACCTCCCCTTCTTTTCATTTCCCCATTGCTGAGATGCAGCAGACTTGGTCATTCTCGAACAGTGACCGATTGTCTGGTTTGGCTAGTTCAGCTATTTGCTAAACATAATGCTCTTTCATCTTCGAGGAAATCGTCTGGACACCTCTACTAGGGCTTGCTTTATGCTGCTGTTTCAATAGGCAAATAAAAGCAGCTATTTTCCCAGTTTAAACATAACCTGATTTCTCTACTGAATTAGAAAAACTTGAGGAGAGGGGAAAGATTGTTTTTTACTGATTTTTTTAAGAACTGTATTCCTAAATTAACAACTCAACTAGCTCTTTTCATGCCTAGGGAAAGGATTCCCCTCCTCCCCCAGTATTTCCCTTCCCCTTAAGAAATATCTGCAGCACTCATACTTCATGATTTTTGTTGGGACCTAAAGGGCACCCACCCTAAAGGGCACACACGCACACTCTGTGAGTGATGTACAGCTTTTCTCCTTGCTCCCTGGCAAATCAGGGCACTTTGGCTGAGGTTTGAGATTTCTTTTCACTGGTAGCAGAGTAAAAATATTACAAAAAGAAATCCTCTTTTAGAGTTTCACCATTGAGAGAGGAGATGGTCACCTGTCTGCTCTCATCTGCTCAGGGTTTGGGAGGGCTCTACAAGCCAGCGCCTTGCTTGTTTTCCTTTGTTTCCTGAGATGACAGGAAGGAAAGCGTAGGCTTCTGGCTGCCCTTCAGCAGGCTGAGGTTTAGGAAAAAGACACAGCTCAGGACTGACTCCGGTCCAAAGCCTGGCTGGCTGCTGGTGAGCAGCATTGGAGAGAGAGTTTGTATTCTGAGAAATTAATACAGAAATGAATAACCACCAAAACCACTGTGCAACATCTATAATGTTGCAAATGATGCAATTCAACTTTCTTTACACACTGTGGTAACCAAGGATTTGACGAAAAGAAAAAGGACCAAGGAGAAATACACCCTGACTTCTTCCTCCAGAGAATGAGTCAAGTTCCTTGCATGCGGTTCCAGTACAATGAAATTGAGAAGTCTGGCCAGCAACTGGGTTCAACAGGAAAGCTGAGGACAAGCTTTTGTGCGACTGCTAATAGGTCCCTCTCCCGTGGCCCTGCCGGATGGGAGGAAACAAACAGCCCTTTTTGTTTTGCAGTTCATGACGAAGAACCCCAACATGCGGCTGGGCAGCCCGGGGCTGGGCGGCGAGAGCGCGATTCTGCGGCACCCCTACTTCAAAGATCTGGACTGGGACCGGCTGAACCAGCGTCAGATGGAGCCACCGTTCAGGCCCCGAATTGTACGTGGGAAGGAGGGTGGGGGGAAGGGATCCCATTTTTTTTCTCTTCTGGGTTCTTCAGGCAGGTTTATTCCTGTGAGACAGGAAAGGAGGTGAAGGAAGGGCAACCTTGACTTGAAAGCCCTGGCCCAGGAGCCAGGAGGTGAGGTCTCTGGTCTTGGCTTGGCTGCGGGTTGGCCACCTGATGTTGTACAGGTTGCTTTTCCCCTCCATGGTGGATTTTCAAAGGCAGCTCAGCCGAAAGATGCAGGTTTGTAAAAGCAACTGCAGCAGATCAGGCACTTAACTACCTTTTGCCTTGCTCCGACTATAAAACAGGGTAACCAGTCCTCATTCTGACCACTCCACCTACCTCTTCACGACGGGGCTTGCCTCTCTTTTGTCTCTCTCTGTTTGTACCGCGCCCAGCACAGTGTTCCCTGCTCAGGCCAATGTCAGACGAGTGGTTCAAATAGCAGAGAGGCTGCAGAGGGGACAGTGTTGCACCTTCTCCCAGTGGTGCTCAAAGGATGATCTCCATGGAGAGCCTCTCCAAGGATGTCTGTGTGGCTTCCTTGCCTTTGAAATTGTCGCTTGGAGTGGCTTTGTCTCACGCTATGCAAACTCATAGTGGCAGTGGTCAACCCAGTCCTGCTCTGTGAAGCTCACTGGGTGCAGGATCAGGCAGTTGGGGAGGCCATGACAGCTCAAGATCAGGCTCTTGGGTTGTTTCTTGACCTGAATCAAAGGCTAAGGGAGCCTTCTCAGTCCCCCGTGAGCTGGACAGGATCTGGGAACTTTAGACTTCAATGTCAATAAAACATCTTGTTCTGGATGCTGGAAAAACACACGCCTTGTCAAAATGTGCCATAAACGCCATTTGTGTGTGTTCATTGTAAACAGTCCCACTTTGTGGCACGCAGTAAGGAATCCAGCACCTGGAGGCAGGCCATTTGTCTTCCCACGGCCCAGTAATTCATTATTGTGCAAGTTTAATGGCTCACACACAGAGGAGTGAAACACACCCCCTGCCCCAAAACCCAGCTGAGACACTCTGCAGATAAGGGAGGGACTGTGTGGAGTCAGCTAGTTGGAAGCATGGCTGATAACTGCTTCAAATGGCTGGGTCTGCGCTGCCACTTGAGGAAGGGAACTGATTTTTGTGCCTTGTCCTGCCATGTCCGGGCAGGCAACCCATCAGAGGTGGTGTCAGTTAAATCAGAGAGGGGTTCGCCTGTCGGAAGCCTGCAGAGGCTCTAAAAGGTTTACACTAAGAGGCTGCGTGGGGGCACTCAGCCGCTCTGAGTCGAACCCCAGAAAAAGCTTTCAGTAAGCTCAGCCTGGGGTAGGGAGGTGATGGTTTATTGCACTCAAGACTAGGCTAAAGATGCAGAGCGAGGGTCAAGCAGATGATACATACTTTTGACATGTCTTTCCTTTGTCTTTTCCATTTGACAGAAATCCAAAGATGACGTGAGCAACTTTGATCCAGATTTTATAAAAGAGGAGCCCATTCTGACTCCCATTGAAGAAGGAATTCTTCCGATGATAAACCAAGATGAATTTAGAAACTTTTCATTCACAAGCCCAGAACTGCAGCAATAGCTACGGCTCTGGGGAAGGGCTGCTGAGAGGACTGGGGGGAAATGGAATGAAATGAAGTTTACCAGAAATTTCATTCTCAAGGAGTAACAGTGCACTGACTTTACATGATACAGCAGCACCACTGTCAGCGTTACCTTAATGTGAAATCAAAACCTTCCTGTGTTTGTAGGATTTATGCAGCTCTTGGATCAAATATTGACAGGGGTGGAACAAACATGATACTGTAAATGGCTGATGCAGACAGAGAATTGAATGCTGAGCTGGTTGGCTCAGCCTGAATGTCACTGCTTGCAGTGTATTCGAGGAGTCGGCGTGAGCATGAAACAAGTGTCTTGCAGCTCTGAGCCAAACAGACTTGTTACAATCCTGATTGTTTGCAAGACTATTTTGAGGAGTCCCAGCACTGTCCGGCATTTTGGAGCCGTGATCCAGCATCCCATGGCCTGACTGACCCAGATGTTCCTACTGACTTTACCTGTTTCTGCAGTATTTATTTCTTTCCAAAGGACAAATGGCTGTCTTTGCCACTGTTTGGGTTGCCATGTGAAATATTTCATTGTGCTGACTAGCAGAAGGAAAAAAACAAATGCCCTGTGCCCCACACAGATTCTTCCAAATCAAAGGGAAGTCATGTGCTCGTAGTGTTTTACTGTTTGTGTGATATGAAAAGTTTTAGTGTTTGCATTCTGTGAAATGCCTTTTTACATCGTGCAGCTTCAATGCTCCTTTCTTTGCCTCCCAGATGTTTTCAACTATAATGTAACTTGTAAAACCTTACAGTTTATTTAGGCCCGTTCTATTTAATTATGCTATACAGAGCCCCTTTTGTGGGTTTAGTGCCTCATTAAAATTTTGATCCAAAGTGGTAGTGCTTAAATTATTTGTAAGCATTATTGCGATGGGAGCCACAGAGCTAGCAAACCGCTTGAAAGCAGAGTTGTCAGCCAACAGGTAACATAAGAGGACAAGTTTCTCCTGTGAGAATGATAAACCTTATCTAAGAAACAGGGTGACTTGGTTTGGTTTGGATTTAAGGGCGCTTATTACTCACAGGGCACTTTTTATCAGTTGCAGCCTCAAGGCTGTCTTACAGGCAGACTGAGACAATTTTTCAGTGTGGTTTGTAGAAACCAGACACTCCAGGAGATGGTTCTGTGTTGTTCCTGCGCTTCTGGAAGTTGGATGATTTTTCTGTAGCTCCATGGCACGCCTTTGCACTCCTTGCGAGTTGTGAAGTTGTATGTCAGGATTATAGCCTCTTCCGTGGGCATATATGAATTACTGGAGAAGAAGGATTTCTAACCTCTTGCAAAATTGATCATGTTTGTATAGAGCTAGTCACATGACTTGAGAAAAGGGTGAGGTGCAGCACAGAGGTGCCCTTCTGCACAGGCCTTGCACCGCTGTAACTGTGGAGGTGACATCGGGGAGCATAAGCCTTCGTCAAGAAAATCACGCGGGTACAACCCCCATTACAGCACAGACCCACCAGTTTGTACGTGCTCACCTTCTGTGAGACCGAGATAAAGATAAGAAATCAAAGCTGAGATCTGCATGCAGGTGATACCCCTTCCAACCCAAGCCCTCTCTACTTGACTGAGTCCCTTTCACTTCTAACCCTAAACCACCCGCTGAACTGTTTGACAGGTCGGGCACAGGTTCAGCTACCCTTAGACTCTTCTTGCTCTTGTGCTTGTGTGTTATACCAGTTCTCCCTCTTCCTTTCCTGCATCTCCCTTTCAAGTAAGCACAACTTCATCCTCTGGTCTTCCCTCCCTTCCATGGGCACCTCCTGGCCACATCACAGCCGGTCAGCCTCCCATCTCTTTGCTAGTCTATAGATAACCAGCTCCTTCAAAGTGGGGCAAAAGAGGAGGAAAGACGGGTTGTGTAGTATAAATGGGAGAAAGAAGAATGGCTATCCAGAAAAATGATCCAAGAACCAGTCACGCAGCTTGAATTGCTTTCCCATATGAGAAGAAACGGTGTGGGGATGAATGCATTTTCATGAGGGGGCCACTGTGGCATCTTACTCGTGCGTGAGTTAAGTGTAGCGTTCACCTCTCTGGTGCAGATGTGGCCATAGGCAACTCCTCACTCAGTTTCCCACCCAGTTTCCCAGCGTTGTGACTGTAGCAGTGCTCAGTTGGCAAGGGGTAAGTGCAGCTAAGCTGGCCACTGAGGTGGGAGCACCAAAACTGTCTATGGCTTTTTGACTCTCCCACTGTCGTGGATTATGAATGACCTCTCCTTCCCTGGAGATCAGTGCAAGAGAACAGCAAGTGATACACTTTTTTGCCAGCATGTTGGTATCATCCCAGGGTTTCATTGGTCGTGT